ATCCTGGGCAAGTCTTTCCGTCCTTGTTGCCAACAAATTCTGAATCTCTGCAGTGTGTTTGTATCGAATACTGATTGCCTGTAGCGCGCTTTTGAATATTTCCTGCATGCAGTGTGCTTGTTGCGGATCCTCCTTTATCGCCGCCATGAGTCGCGGGTCGGGAGCAGGGTACGATCGTCACATCACCATCTTTTCACCCGAAGGCCGCCTCTACCAAGTTGGTTCGTCGCTTTTCACGCCCTTGACTCTCCGATACGCACTCCCTCCATTCCCCATCCTTTCCTTCCGTCACGCTTCCCCGTCCCCTCTCCCCCGTCTCCCTCCCGCCTCTCTCTCTCCGCTCCCTCCCTTCTTCCCTCACTCATATCACCATCTTCTCGCCCGAAGACCGCCTCTACCAAGTTGGTTCGTTTTCTTTCATGCTCGACTCCGTAATCCCTTTTTTTTTTCCAACCTTCCCTTTCCTTCTCCCGCTCTCTCCCTCTTTCTCGCTCCTTCCCTCTTGCACTCAGTTATCACCAACTTCGCCCGAACTCCACCTCTACCAAGTTGCTGCCCTCAACCACTCGATTCCCTAGTTCTTCCTCCCTTCCTCCCTCCCTCCCTCCCTCCGTCCCACTTCGCCTCGCCCCTTCACCCTCCGTCACATCACTTCCTCCTCCGCTCCTTCCTAAATTCCTTCAAGGTATATTTCTCGATCGTGAATTACGTTCTCATATTGCCGCTCCTCCTCTTCTTCTTCTCTTACCGTCCTCCCTTATGCCCCACCCGTTTCACCAGAATATGCCTTGAGGCAGTCCAAGTCGGTTGGAGTAACACCAATTGCCGTGCGAGGCACGGATTCAGTCTGATTGTTCCTTTTCCCTTCCTCCCTTCCGCACCCGCCCTCTTTCCCTTCCCCTTTCCACCAGAATATGCTTTCAAGGCGGTCAGTTGGTTGGAGTAACATCACATCATTTGCCGTGCGAGGCACGGATTCAGTCTGATTGGTTCTTTTTCCCTTCCTCCCTTCCGCACTCGCCCTCTTTTCCCTTCCCCCTTCCACCAGAATATGCTTCAAGGCGGTCAAGTCGGTTGGAGTGACGTCCATCGCAGTGCGAGGCAAGGATTCAGTGTGCTTCGTGACTCAAAAGAAGGTCCCTGTAAGTGCGCGCTCTCCTTTTGCATTGAGATTCCAGATAAGGATTTCGTGTGCTTCGTGACTCAAAAGAAGGTCCCTGTGAGTGTTCTTTCTCGCTCGCGCTCAACCGCTCGGTTCTTTACATCATTATCACAACCCAATCAACCAAGCGGAACTCGGTGTGATTCATGATGAAAAGGGAGATCCCTGTAAGTGCTCGTTTGCTCGCATCAGGACAAGCTGACAGACAAGACCAGCGTCAGAAACCTGCTTTCGCACCCCGACTTTCGCTTATCTTCCCCCCCCCCCCCCCCCCCCCCTGCTCCCTGTTCCTTCGCCTCGCCCTTCCTCCCCTCCCACCTGTGTTTTTCCCGCTCTGTCATCAGGACAAGCTGACAGACAAGACCAGCGTCACGAACCTGTTTCTCTGAACTCCAACCCTTGCTCAATCCCCTTCCCCTCTCCCTCCCGCCCCTCCCCCGTCTCGGCAATCATTTTTTTCCCGCCCCGTCATCAGGACAAGCTGATAGACGAGACCAGCGTCACGAACCTGTATCCAGTCACCAAAGGCATTGGCATGCTGGCGACAGGCCTCACAGGTGCGTGTGAGGTGGGTGAGAGTTGCGTGTGAGGTGCATGTGAGGTGGGTGGGAGGTGGGTCACACAGGTGGGTCAGAGCCGTCACGAACCTGTTCCCGGTCACCAAGGGCATTGGCATCTGGCAACGGGCCTCACAGGTGCGTGGGAGGTGGGTGAGAGTTGCGTGAGAGGTGTGTGGGAGGTGGGGTGCGAGGTGGGGCGGAGGTGGGTCACACAGGTGGGTTAGAGGCGTCACGAACCTGTACCCGGTCACCAAGGGCATTGGCATGCTGGCGACAGGCCTCACATGTGTGTGGGAGAGTTGATGTCATCAATCAAGCACTGGTCAATTACACCAGGGTTACCACTTTTTTTTATCTATCTCCTCTCCCTTGCCGCCTGCTCTTCTCCTCCGTGCCGACGCGAGATCAATAGTTTTGTGGGCTCGTTACGATTCTGAAGGGGTGCAAGTTATTGAAGATCCCTGAGGGCATCAACCGGCTGACGAAGCTTCAAGAGCTATGCATCAGGTATTGCAGCGATCTGCGAGAGATTCCTGAGGTTATTACGGGTCTCAAGCGTCTGGAACGCTTGCGTGTTGAGGGCTGTGCGAGCCTTGATTGGATGCTTAACGATGCTCGTACAGCTTTCAACGCGCAAGCTCTCCAGGCGCCTGAGAGCCGTAATGGCCTCGGGAATCTCCAGCACTTCGCTGCAATAGCTGATGCAGAGCTCTTGAAGCTTCGTCAGCCCGCTGATACCCTCAGGGATCTCCGACAACTTGCATCCCTTCGATTGTTTAACCCCAATCCCCACATCTTTTCACCCCTTCCCACTTCTACCTTCCGTCTGTCCTCTCCCGTCTTTCTTCAGCCGACGCGAGATCGTTGGTGCTGAGGGCCCGCCACGAGGCGGCGGAGTTCCGGTTCAAGCTGGGATATGACGTGCCTGTGGACTACCTGGCTAGAAGGTGTGTTGAGGAGTGCTTTGTGGTGCTGTGTGGTACTGTGCAGGGCTGATTTGGGTTAAAGTGGAAGGTACTTTATCATGAGACACGAGGCGGCAAGGTTTCGGTTCAAGCTGGGGTATGACGTGCCTGAGGACTACCTGGCTAGAAGGTGATGCGCTGTGCTTAGTGGTACTGTGCGGTGCTGGTGGGTTGGGTGGCAGTGTGGGTGGGCTGTATTGGTGGGCTTGTGCTGGGAGGCAGGCAGGCATGAGCCACGAGGTGGCAGAGTTCCGGTTCTAGCTGGCTGGGTAACGACGTGCCTGTGGACTACCTGGCTAGAAGGTGTGTTGAGGGGTGCTGTGTGGTGTTGGGGTGGGGTTGAAAGCACCATCTGTGGGTTCAAGCTGGGGTACGACGTGCCTGTGGACTACCTGGCTAGAAGGTGTGTTGAGGGGTGCTCAGTGGTGCTGTGTGGTATGGTATGGGGGTGGGGTAGAAGAAGGTATTGTAGCATGAGTGACGAGGCGGCAGAGTTCCGGTTCAAGCTGGGGTACGACGTGCCTGTGGACGACCTGGCTAGAAGGTAGGTAAGAGGATGTGTGCTGAGGGGTGCTCAGTGATACTATGTGGTGCTGGTGGGCTGGTAATGAGGGCTCATCACTCGCTAGTAGGTACTGTGTTGGATGGATGGCAGTGTGTGTGGGTTATGGTGACAAGTGGGGTGGGTTGTGTGCGGTAATGCGTCGTGCTGCTATGTTACCATCCTTCAATGTAGTGCCCCGAAAATTCCCTTTCTTCCCACTTCCCGCCCTCTCTTCCCCACTTCCTCTTTCCCCTCCCCTGTGTGTGTGTGCAGATTGGCGGACATGGCTCAGGTGTACACGCAGCAGGCATACATGCGACCTCTGGGCGTGGGTGAGTGTGCTCCTGTGTGAGGGTATGAGTGAGCAAGTTAGTGAGCGAGTGTGTGGGTGGCTGGGGAGTACACACAGGTGGCATACATGCGACCGCTGGGAGTGGGTAGGTGACTGGGTGAGTCAGCAAGTTCGTAAGTGAGTGGGTGGGTGTCACAAGTGTACACACAGCAGGTATACATGTGACCGCTGGTCGTGGTGAGTGTGCGTGTGTGTGATTGAGCGTGTGTGTGAGTGATTGAGTGAGCGAGTGGGTTACACACATGCCATGTCACACGCATGCCACGTCATGCACATGCCACATCACACACATGCCACGTCACGCACATGCCACGTCACGCACATGCCACGTCACGCACATGCCACGTCACGCACATGCCACATTACGCACATGCCATGTCACACACATCCCATGTTGTGCACGTGCCGTATCCCACCCCGTTTAGCTAGCCACGTTTCTGATCAGCATTGACGATAAGTTTAGTTGAGCCCCATGCTGTGCAAGTGGAGCAAGTATGCATGCAGCCATGTTCCTGCCTTCCCTGCTTCCCCCCTTTCCCTCTCTCCCCAAAACCCTTCGTCCCCAGCCACCATGCTGATCGGCATTGACGATGAGTTTGGCCCCATGCTGTACAAGTGTGATCCAGCTGGCTACTACGTCGGTTACAAGGTGCGTGCAGCTATCACGTTACCATGTAGCATAGTGTGTTCAGGTGCCCAGTACCCTCTGAGCTCATTCAGCCCAATGCTGTACAAGTGCGATCTAGCTGGCTACTATGTTGGTTACAAGGTGCGTGCGGTTACCAGGTAGCACAGTGAGTTCAGCCCAATGTTCTGCAAGTGCTACCCAGCTGGGTACTACCTCGGTTACAAGGTGCGTGCGGTTACTGTGTTACCATGTAGCGCCAAGTACCTTACAAGATTTGACGATGCTGTACAAGTGCGCCTAGCTGACCAATACGTTGGTTACCATTGATTCATTCACCAACGTTTTACCGCATTGCATCTCACTGCACCACACCAGGCCACAGGGGCAGGAGCCAAGGAGCAGGAGGCGATAAACTTTCTGGAGAAGAAGCTAAAGGACGGGAAGCACCAGAACCTGACAGCAGATGAGGCAGTGCAGGTGAGCGCAGAACCCCGCAGTACCGCACTGTACCACATCTCACCACGTTTCACCGCACTGTATCTCGTTATACCCTGTGCTGTGGCACCAATAAGCACTTTGGAGAAGAAGCTAAAGGACGGGAAGCACCAGAACCTCACATCAGACGAGGCGGTGCAGGTGAGCGCAGTACGGCGCTCTACCGCATCATACCTCATCTCACCGCATTTCACCGCACAGCATTTCACTTCACTCCGTGGCACGAATAAGCTCTTTGGAGAAGAAGCTCAAGGATGGGAAGCACCAGAATCTGACATCGGACGAGGCAGTGCAGGCGAGGAGAGGACAAAACCCTGCAGTACCGCACTGTACCACATATCACCACTTCTCACCACATTTCACCACACAGCATCTCTCATCACCCTGTAGCTACAATAAGCACTTCAGGGAAGAATCTCAAGGATGGGAGGCAGCAGAACCTGACAGCAGACAAGGTAGTGCAGGCGAGGAGAGGACGAAACCCTGCAGTACTGCACTGTACCGCATCTCACCACTCCTCACCACATTGCACCGCACAGCTCATCACCCTGTAGCTCCAATAAGCACTTGGGGAAGAATCTCAAGGAGGGAGGCAGCAGAACCTGACAGCAGACGTAGCGCAGGCAAGGAGAGGACAAAACCCCGCAGTACCGCACTGTACCGCATCTCACCACTCCTCACCACATTTCACCGCACAGCATCTCTCTTCACCCTGTAGCATCAATAAGCACTTCGGGGGAGAGGCCCAAGGATGGCAAGCACCAGAACCTGACAGCAGATGAGGCAGTGCTGGTGAGCGCAGAACCCTACAGTACCACAATTCACCACGTCTCACCACGTCTCACCACATGTCACCGCACAGCATTTCACTTGACCCTGTGGCACCAATAACCTCGTTGGAGAAGACACTGAAGGATGGGAAGCACCAGAACTGCAGCACCTCACAGCACCGCATTCCACTGCATCTGACCCCACTCCCCCCACCCTTTGCACCCTCTCCCACCTCAGTTGGCCATTTCAGCGCTGCAAGGTGTGCTGTCAGAAGACATGAAGGCGACCGAGATCGAGGTGAGGGGGGGTGACGAGGGGTGACGAGGGGTGACGATGGGTGAAAGGTTAGAAATAGTTGCTGTTTTCTCATCAACTGCATTGGCAGCATCTCATCTCAGCACTGCAAGGCGTGCTGTCAGAACACATGAAGGCGACCGAGATCGAGGTGAGGGGGAGTGATGATGGGTTGGGCTGAATTGTCATTCATGGTAAGCTCAGCAACAGCGGCATCAAAGCTCAGCACACGACGGCATGCCCGAGCATCATAGCGCTGCAAGGCGTGCTGTCAGAAGACTCGTGTCAGAAGACTCGTGTCAGAAGACTCGTGTCAGAAGACTCGTGTCAGAAGACTCGTGTCAGAAGACTCGTGTCAGAAGACTCATGTTAGAAGACTCGTGTCTTCTGTCAGAAGACTCAAGGCAAACGAGATCGAGGTGAGGCGGGGATGACAATGGGTGCAGAGGTAAGACAGGAAGGTTGGGTGCGGACTGTCAGTCGTAGTAAGCAGAGCATCAGCAGCGTCTCATCTCAGCGCTGCAAGGCGTGCTGTCAGAAGACATGAAGGCGACCGAGATCGAGGTGAGGGCAATCCCCCAATTAGCATCATTTCAAAGACCCATATCTGATTAGCATACTTCAGCAGCACCTCTCAGAGAAGAGAATGGATGCTCCTAAATTTCCCACTTGATTTTAGTTAATGGATGCACAACTTTCTAAATTGTGTGTTTCCAAATTGCACATCTGCAGGTGGGGTTGGTTGAGGCCAAGGGAGAGACGGCCTTCAGAACGCTCTCTGTGGATGAGATCGAAGCGCATCTGACAGCCATTAGCGAACGCGACTAAACGAGATGGAACATCTGGTGGTGTTAGCGAATATGCCCTAATGAGAATAAAGCCCGTCTGACTGCTGATTGTGATTGGACTAAATGATTTTGAAATCCGTTTGAAGGGCCTCTCTGTAAGTCGTCGGATGAAGCACATATCTATCGACATCATGCTCAGAGAATGCATTTGCAAGATAGCATCATGATGTTAGGGAGAGTTTTCAGGAAATTATGTGGTTATTCTCAGAACCTAAGAAGCTAAGGAAGTAAGTTAGGTAGAAGGGATGATGTCACTAGGAAGCATAGGGTACAAGTGACGAGGGTTGATAGAAATCATGTACCCTCTAAGAACTACCTCAGCAGTCTATCTAAATGATATAAACACACTTGACACACCCACATAGGCTAAGTACGGTAAGGGGCATCAAAACAAAACTGAAGGAACAAATGGTCACCAGATTGAGTGAAAAAAGCAACAATGCAAAGCTCAGGGTTCGCAAACTCACCACACAATCTGAGCACAAGCAGGTAGCCACAAGGCCAGTCAAGTGTTTACATAAATATATATATGCATATAAGTACAATAAGAAACAATAAGCTAGATTATAATAACCGAGGGCCAACGTCAACTAGGCCTAGCTGCAGACAGAACCTGTGGTGGTCACCACGCAGAAGGGCCTTGGTGAAGATGTCTGCAGTGTTGGCCTCTGACTCAACGAAGTCTAAGTGTGCCTGGCCGCGTCGCTGCAACTCTCGTAGGAGAAAATACCTCACGTCGATGTACCGTATCACCCCGGATATAAGCGCAGGCCTATGTTAAGCGCATGCGCTTATATCTGGAGCAATGCGCTTATGGCCGATCCTCGATTATAAGTGCACCCCCTGTAAAACCTTGACTTATTATAAGCGCATCAATAATTCTACAGTTCAATCCTAATTAATACAGTAACGATTTCCCTTTTGCAGCGAGTCCAAATCCGTTTCTACTTCGTTTGACTCGCTCGAGGCGAGCGATTGCAGGAGAAAGAAGCGAAACGGCGTGAAGATGACTGACTGACAGCACATCGTTGGGAGGGGGGGGGAGGGAAGATGGGCGCTGGAAATGACTGTCCTGTGCGTTGTGCGAGAGAAAAAGGGGCAGGCGGGGGGGCTCGGGAACGACTATGCCTCTGCGCTGCGAGCAAGCGTCTCCGTGCGACTGGCTCGTACATTGGTTCGGGGCGAGCTTGACACATCCCTCTGCGCTGTGACGTGTCCTCGCCCCTGTGCGGCGGCAGAAATCGCCCTCGCGCGATTCTTTGATTTGGGACGCTGTAATGTTCTGATTCGATTGAAATTGCACGACTGAGATGTACAGTTTGGTGAATTTAAAACATATTTCTGCAATTGTCATATTATAAGCGCATGCGCTTATAATTCTGACTCAATTAGAAGCGCACCCCCCCAAAAAACACTGTTTTATTATAAGCGCACGTGCGCTTTTATCCGGGGCAATACGGTACCTCACGTCGATGTGCTTCACTCTGCTCTCCAGTCGAGGCTCTCGACACAGGAGGATCATGGCCTTGTTGTCAGCGAACAAGGTCGATGCAGAGCGAGGTTGCTCACCAAGGTTGGTAAGCAAGAAGGTCAACCAGCGAAGCTCCTGCGCAGCCATGGCACCGGCGTAGATCTCTGCCTTAGCACTAGACGAAGCCACAAACGACAACTGTGTGGACTTCTACGACACAGCTCCAGCACCCAAGCTAAAGCAGTGTCCCTGAGTAGACCGCTGAGTCTCAACGTCGTCGGCGTAGGAAGAATCGCAGTGACCGGTGAGAACGACTTGCTTTCTCCCTCCAAGCACAAGCCTTATGCCAGATGTAGTCGCCAGGTAATTTGCCACCCTCACAACAGCTGTCCAGTGAACAGGACAGTGTCTCCCAGTCCCAACAAAACGAGAGAGGACGCGGAGAGGAAAGGCGAGGTCCGGACGAGTACAAGTTATCAGGTGCATGAGGCAACCCACAAGCTCTTTGTAGGGACCACTAGACTCAAAAGGCTCGTCGGGAAAAGGGTCGATGAGTCTGTGGTCAACACCAAGAGGAGTGGGCTGTGTGGTGCAGTGCTGAAGCCCAAACTGTGCCGTGTGACTGTGAGAGTGTAATGGTGCAAGCGGCTCTGGCCCTAGTGATCTGCAAGCCAAGGTAGCGGCGGAGCTCACCAAGGTCAGTGCACGTGTGTCTCTTCTGCAGTTCGGACTTCACCTCAGCCAGAGCGACCCTGTCTGCTATAGCAAAGACCAAGTCGTCAACGTAGACGAGGACGAAGAAAGGTGTGGGCCCAGAACGAACGAACATCGACAGGTCGGCGGACGAAGGACGAAACCCGAGGGCAGCAAGAGTGGTGCGCAGCGTGTTGTGCCACTCACGGGGCGCCTGGCGGAGACCGTAGACTGGTCACCTCAGGCTCCACTGGGTCCTAGGCGGGAAAGTTCCAGTGAAGCCGGGAGGACGGCGCAGCCAGATCTCCTCGTGCAGGCTGCCCTGGAGAAAGTCGGTGGAGAAGTCGAGGGAGTGCAGCTCATAGTCTCGCTGTGCTGCAACGTGGAGTAACACCCGAAGAGTGGTCATCTTCGGGGTCGGTGCGAAGGTATGAAAGAGGTCGACTCCCTCGCGATGACTGAAGCCTCTAGCCACGTAGTGCGCCTTGAAGACCAGCGGTGATCCCGGCGGCCGCTTCACCTTGAAGAGCCACATGCCATCGACTACGTTCACCCTAGGCGTGGGAACTGCGTCGATGAAAGTGCTTGTGGATCTCCAAGACGCCATCTCCGACTCCATGGTTGCTATCTACTAAGAGGCCCACTGCCCTGACGCTGCCTCACGATACGTGCGAGGAGTCCGTATGTCAAGGGCGTCGGGGTCTCTCTCAGGGGCTAACAGCATGGCACAGGATGAGGAGAAGCGGCTGCCAGGAACTCCAGCTTAAACTGTCTGTCCTCTAGGACGTCACATCCAAGGGCACACTCACCCCCGACGGATAGAGGACGGGCAGACACCACTCGGGTGGCGTAGTCAAGGCGGCGGGTGGCGGCAAAGTCAGCGACAACAGCAGTAAGAGTCGAGACAGACGACGGAGAGGCACGAGGGTCCGTGACTAGAGAGGCAAGAACACGAGTGACAACTGGACGGGTGGCACGATAGTAGTCAGTGATAGGGGTAGAGGTGGAGGCTGTAAGAGATGACTCGGAGGTGACAGGAGAACAGACCGAGGTGGAGAAAGATGAGGACTCGAATGAAATAAGACAGTGCGGAGGACATCAAGGGTAGACGAGGGACGTGGACGGGCGGGACTATCAACGGGAGTTGTGTGTTTGCCCCGTCCTCGCTTGGGCGGAGCCGACTTCGTGGTTGGGTGTGAGGGGAGCAGCCGACCTGCAGCAGTGGGCGAGCTGGTTGACGAGGAGGTCGACCTGTACGGGGGCCACTTCACGGGCGCTGACTTCAAGGTGGCGCCGACTTCAGGGTGGCGCCGACTTCAGGGAGGTCGACCTGGGAAGTCGACCTATGGAGGGCGTCAACTTGGTGACGCCAACTTGGGGGCAGCCGACTTGGTGGTCGGCTGACAGGCCTTCTGGTCGACTTGGTGGTTGGTCGACCAGGTGTGATGTCCACCTGGTGGTCGACCTGACCTGGTGGTCGATGGAGGAGTGGCCGACGTCGACCTCGACTCAGGACGCCGAGCAGTTGGGCGTCAAGTAGCAGGGCGTCAAATTGGTGACGCCGACTTCGGGTAGCCGACCTGGAGCTGGTCGGCTGACAACTGCGCTGGTCGACATGGAGCTGGTCGACCAAGAGTGACGTCAACCTGGAGTTGGTTGACTAGGGGTGTGGTCGACCTAATGAGGTCGACTTGGAGGTGGTCATTGACTTGGGAGGTTGACGGGCACATACGGTAGCACCTGGTCGACGTGGTTGCTCGGTTGACCAGGTTACCTGGGTGACGAGGTTCTGCGGAGGAGTGCGACTGTCGCCCAGGCAAAGTTGGCGAGTCCGACCTCGGTGGTGGTATCCCGACGTTGACGTGGCTGATCAGATGCACTCGCCAGCGCCAGGTTGACTTGGTGTGTGCGCTGTGCAGGTGACAAGGCTCAGCGCGCGAATCATCTGCGAGCACCTGCGAAGCTAGTGCGATGCTGTACTGCGGGAGCTGCGTTGGCACGCCGTCGACTTTGCA